TTGATTTTTATACTTTTAGTGCTCATTGAACTTTTGTGTTTGATGTGCTGCTTTCTACACCTCAGGTGACAATCGAGGTGGCTATACATGGTACCTACGAACTTCCTTCTGTTGACTGTAGTAGTGACAAAATGAAAGATGCTCTCAACTCTCTGGATACCATACTTGATCAAATTTCGGCAAGCAATGTGCTACCAAGGAGAGGTGATCGTAAGATATTTCAAAGGGGTATTTTTCTTTGGCTTTCAAGGATGTTGGATCATGACTAGATCATTAGGTTGTTTTGAGTACTTAGAATATTATGAATAGTAAACTATGTTCCTTTGGATTATGTTGGAATATCTATAGTTATTAGCATTTTACCATGTAAAGAATATTAGTTTTTATCATAAATCATGGAATGAATCATACAATATTGATGGGTATGGTGTATTGTATGATTTGGCTATCAAGAATGATATTAATAGTCAAATTAGCAAGAAAAATGCTTGGTTCTGGATTTATCTATAGTGACTAGTGCAATTGCAACCAAGTAATAGTCAAAAATCTGCGTGGTTCTCTTTAGCAACGATTTATTTGTATCTCTTTAGTGATAGTTTTTAGTTGGTTGCAAATTGATTTAGCGACGAACAAAGCAAGGGTTTTAACCCCTACTACAAACATCTCATTAGTGAATTTTACACTGAAGTGTAGCAAGGGTTTTAACCCCTGATACATATAGCAGGGGTTTCAAATCCCTGCTACAACCCTTGGATGAGACTTTCACCGTGGGTTGCTAAAAACCCTTGCTACACGTAGCAGGGGCAACATTGGCGAGGGTTCAAGCAGGGGTTGGTGAAACCCTTGCTACAACTGGTAGCAGGGGTTAAAACCCTTGCTATAGGTAGAAAAAACCCTTGCCATAGACCCATTTTTTTTGTAGTGGCTCTTCGTGAACTAATCCCAACTTCGAATAAATCTTTATGGTCAACGGGCTAAACTATGTGTTATTTACTTTTTTTCACATTTTATTTTTCTCTACAGAATGGAATTGATTTGTGAAGTTCAATTTGTTCATGCAAACCACCCTTAGCCATTAGATATATGTTTGTGCAACGCAGACACATCCATCTTGACAAAGATTTGGAAGATAAAGTCTACTTTGGTAAGTAACAACAAACAAGATATCAAAGCCAAACAATAAAAACCATAATCCTTCTTCATTTCACCAAAAATTAAACGAGCACCAAATTTCAAACAAAAGTCAGGTGGAAGATGAACCACAGGGATGACGATCAAGAGCTACATATCATCAGGCTCGTCGGTCGAAAGAGTGATGACCATGAAACCTTCAAAGACTTCGATGGAGGGCATGAAGAGTGTGAAGCTAAGAAGTGTCAGCCTGCTCTTTCCAAACATATCTGACCTCTGCTTTTGTGGATGCACGTTTATATCGTGTCACCTCCATCAAGACTTTGACATCCTTTCGGAGGTTCGAATTCACTTCCGGATAGATGAAAAGCGTCCGAAGTTGTGGGAAGCCTCACAAGGTCCAACTTAACCCGTGTACCCGTGAATCCATGGAAGGCAAACTCTTCAAGGCACTGAAAACAACTCGCAGGAGGGACGCACTCTGCTAATTCCAACAACAACTGTAAGCTGCCGATTAACTCTGCTGTTGGCGGAAGGGGAGAAGGATGTTAGTGTTGTGGTATATGATTCACGATTGAACCTCTCCCAATAACTCGAGTTATTGGAATTAACTGGTTCTTGATTGTTGTGCCCTCCTCATGTGGTGGAGAAGCAGCCAACAAGGTTGGCGATGGTAATTGAGAAAAAAAAAACAATAATGGTAAGATGCAGGTGGCAAATCCATCTGCTTCTCCACCACATGAGGAGGGCACAACAATTCTCCCCCGCCCTACTACATGGGCCACTTCGTCATCCCTGCAGCTGATCGAGAGAACTCAAACTTTTCTCTTGGAAGAGTCTTGGTACACATGTCAGATCCATTTTCATCAGTATGGATCTTCTCTAGTTGTAACTGCCTCATTTCAAGCACATCCCGGATCCAATGGTATCGAACATCAACATGTTTTGATCGGGCATGAAATGAAGCATTCTTTGCTAGATGAATAGCACTCTGACAACCACAGAACAACTGCGGTCGTTCCTATTGGAATCCAAGTTCATTCAAGAACTTCTTCATCCATAACATCTCCTTGCACGCTTCCGTTACTGCTATATACTCAGCTTCTGTAGTGGAAAGAGCTACACATTTTTGTAGCTTTGACTGCCACGATATTGCTCCCCTTGATAAGGTTATCAGGTACCTCCTCGAATCAACATCTCCTGCCATGTCAGCATCTGTATAGCCAACAAGGATAGGTTCACCATCTACAAAACACAAACTCATTTTGGAACTACCCCGAAGGTATCTGAGTATCCACTTCACAGCTTCCCAGTGTTCCTTTCCTGGTTTTGAAAGAAATCGACTGACAACTCCAACTGCATGAGCAATATCTGGCCTTGTACACACCATGGCATACATCAAACTTCCCACTGCTGAAGCATATGGAATTTTATCCATCTCTGCCTTTTCCTTCTCATTAGACGGGTTATGTTTGGCAAGAGGACAGCTAACCGCCTTAGCATTATTCATGTTGAAACGTTGAAGTACTTTCTCAATGTACTTCTCTTGTGACAACCATATCTTCTTGGCATCACAATCTTAACCGATCCTCACGCCAAGAATCTGCTTTGTTGGTCCCAAGTCTTTCATGGCAAAAGACTTGCTCAACTCATTCTTCAAATCATTGATCTTTGAGACGTTCTGCCCAGCAATTAGCATATCATCCAAATAGAGCAAAAGTATGATGAAATCTCCATCAGGAAATTTCTTCACCAACACGCAGTGGTCTGAAATAGTCTTCTTGTAGCCTTGCTCCCCCAGAACAGACTCAAACTTCTTGTACCACTGCCTTGGTGTCTGCTTTAAGCCATACAAGCTCTTTTAGAGCCTGCACACATAGCCCTCCTTGTTCTTCTTCTTGAGGCCTTCTGGTTGCTCCATGTAAATCTCTTCCTTCAAATCACCATGAAGAAATGCAGTTTTCACATCCATTTGTTCAACCTCTAGGTTAAGACTTGCTGCTAGTCCCAGCACAGTACGAATGGATGTCATTTTCACCACAAGTAAAAATATCTCGTCAAAGTCAATGCCTTTCCTTTGGTTGAAGCCTTTCACGACTAGTCTGGGTTTGAAGCGTGGCTGACGGTTGTGTTCATCATGCTTGATCTTGAACACCCACTTGTTCTTCAAAGCTCTCTTGCCTTTTGGCAACTTTACCAGCTCAAATGTGTTGTTCTCATACAAGGATTCCATCTCGTCTTTCATAGCTTCTGTCCACTTCTACTTGTGTTTGTCATTCATAGCTTCTATGAAGCTCTCTGGTTCTCCCACGTCAGTAAGTGACACGTATTCAGTCTCGGGATATCTGGTAGACGTTCGTGAAATTCTACCAGATCTTGTTGTTCGAACAGGAGAACCTTCTATGGCTGGTGGTTGACCATCGTCATCAGCATCTTCTGGTTGAACCTCCACATGGGCATCTGGTTCAACTATCTCAGGCTGATCATGTTGTACTTCTTCTCCATATTCTGTAGGCGCTGGTGTTGGAGGCACTAGCTCAAGGTTTGGCTGGCTAGCATCAGTACTAGGAACTTCTTTCCTAGCAAAAACATCTTCGATGGTTTCATTTTCGATGAACACAGAATCACGACTTCTGATAAGCTTCTTCTGGATTGGATCATAGAATCTATAGCCAAACTCATCTTAACCATATCCAATGAATACGCACGGTCGTGTCTTGGAATCCAACTTTGACCTTTCATCCTTTGAAATATGGACAAAGGCCTTGCAACCAAACACCCGCAAATGTTTGTAGGAAACTTCTTTTCCTGTCCACACCTTCTCTGGGGCGTCATACTTCAGTGGCACACTGGGTGACCTGTTCCACACATAAACTGCTGCAAGCAGTGCCCCCCCCCCCCCCCCCCAGAAATATTGTGGTAGCTTCGAGTGTGATAACAAGCACCTGACTCTCTCTAGCAGGGTCATGTTCATCCTCTCAGCTAGCCCATTCAATTGCGGGGTCTTTGGTGGTGTGAATTGCTACCGAATTCCATGTTCCTTACAGAAGGTAGCAAACGAACCTCTGTACTCTCCACCATTGTCAGTCCGGATGCACTTCAGCTTCTTGTCAGTCTCCCTCTCCACGAGGGCCAGGAATTGCTTAAAAACGTCTAGGGCCTGATCCTTGGTCTTCAAGGTATACACCCAAGTCTTCCGTGAATGGTCATCAATGAATGTCATGAAATCTCTGGCACCTCCAAGTGATTTGACGTTGACATCGGGTTCACAGAGATCTGAGTGAACTAGATCCAACACGTTCTTTACTCTTGAAGGGATGGAACTTTTGAAAGCAACTCGGTTTTGCTTTCCCGCAAGGCAGTCGACACACTTCGATCTTTAAATGAACATGATCCAACCCAATTATGACTTTCTTCTGGGCCAACTTTGCCATGGACTTCTCACTCATGTGACCGAGCCGTTTGTGCCACAAATCAATTGTGTCACCATTCTCCGCTAAGTTGACAATCTCTGGGGAGATCTTGGCTTCCGTCACATACAGCTTTGACAGCTTCTTGCCCTTGGACAACACCAAGGAGCCTCTGGTGAGTTTCCACTACCCATTGTGGAAGGTGTTGCAGTAACCTTCCTCATCCAACTTGTCTACAAAGATGAGATTCATGTGCATTTCTGGAACGTGCTTGACATCCTTCAGCAGTAGCTTCGTACCATTCATCATCTCCAAGCAAACTTCTCATTTTCCGATAACTTTGGAAAGATTACCATTTTCCATTCTTACCACACCGAAGCTACCTGGTGTGTAAGATGAGAAAAATTCTCTCTTGGACATCACGTGGATGGTAGCCCCACAATCAACCACCCAGCTTGTCTACTGGGTTGTTAGGTTGACAACATCTTCCTCGTAGACAATATTGAACTCATCAACAGAGTTTACACCATCATCATCACTGTTCTCATCTCGTTTGCCCTTCCTTCTCTCGTTTCTGAACTTTGGGCAAAATCTACTGATGTGGCCCTTTTCCTTGCAGTGATGACAATTGATATTGGCAAACTTGTTGGACTTCCCTCGACTCTTGCCTCTTTGCTTCGAGCCTCTCGCTTCACTTCTTCCTCTGCTTCTGGAATCCACCGCCAAAAGGTCTGACTGGGAAGATGAAGAGGATGCACCTTGTGATCTTTTCTGCATCTCTTCATTCAGAACCCCACTTTTGACAATCTCCATGTTGATAACTCCATCTTTCACAGAGTTGGTAAGTGAAATTTTTAGCGTCTCCCAAGATTCTGGAAGGGAAGCCAGAACGAGGAGAGCGACCACCTCATCTTCCATCTTTATGCCCATACCGGACAACTGATCCACGATCCCTTGAATTTCGTTCAAGTGATCCGCCAAGGATTTGCCTTCCTTGTATTTCATCTAGACCAACTTGGTCAGATAAAATAATTTGTTGTTGCCGGTCTTTGATGCATAGAATTCCTCCAGCTTGTTCCACAGAGTTCTGGCATGAGTTTCTCCGCTAATGTGGTTGTATACATTATCGTCGACGAACTGTCGAATGTAGCCACATACTTGCTCATGCTTGAACTCCCATTCCTCTTAAGTTTTGCCACCAGGTTTAGTTGGGCTAAACACCGGCAAATGCAACTCCGTCACGAGTAGGAGATCCTTCATCTTGTTTCTCTATATGTGATAGTTTGAGCCATTCAGACTTATCATCTTGCTTGTTTTTGCCTCCATTGGACGTGGCTCTGATACCACTTGTTGGGCGCAACGGGTGAGAATAGCGGGTAAATATATTGCACTAAGAAATCACACGCTTGTAAAAAGTTCACAGGTAAGTTGAACCTGGTGGCAGAGCCTCCAGAATTACGGTAGCCAACTTACTTAGATCAATTTACTTCGGTAATTTAATAATGCAATGTACTACAACTATTCTCAAAATAACAACAAGCATAGATAATAATAAATAACACCGAGGATTTACGTGGTATACCCTGATTTTGGGCCAGTCCACGGGAACAGCAGCTCCGGAGTATTTCTTTACTATAACAATGGTAAGTTATAGAGATTTTCTCGATACAAGAAATAGAACACAGTGTTTCCCAAACAACCTCACTATTTCACTCACAAGGAAATCTCCTATCTACCCGTGATTGTGAAAACGTTTCACAACCGAAACCACAAGAAAGAAATAGAACCGAGAGCTAGCAAAGAAGAATGATTGGAAGGCAAAATACACTTGTATAGCCAAAATTTTGGTGTTTGTGACAACAACAGCCACTTTTGGCAAAATACCAAATATAGCCAGAATTTTGAAAGTTTCGTGACAAATATAGCTATTTCCGTTTTAAACTTTGACGGTGTTAGAAACTCCGTAAGTTAGGTTAACGTTAGGCTGACTAGGATGCCAAATCATTGCACACGTCAGCAACAAGTCATCAATATCATTTCCACATCATTCTAATTTATAAAAATAATTAATTTTGAAACTAAAAAAAAACATAAAATGTGTTTTCTAATTTCCCCCCATTCCCACCTTCATCCCCTCTTCTTCGAAATTCTTAATTCACAAACCCTACCCGACAAGAGCAACCCCAATCTGCAGCCGAGCCCACACTGACCAGGTGAGTGCCATCACCACCCCCATCGACAACTCAAACCAGTTGTCCTCCAGCAACGCGTACCTCCTCGACCTAGCCGTCGTTGATCCTATTACCACAGTCCTTTATCACTTGCCCCAAGCCCTTCCATTCTTCATTTTTTTCTCGACGATAAGACCTGCCATTCTACAATCTAACAGTTGCTCAACCTCCATCCTACAGCTGTGAGATCTGGTCCTTTGTGGGAGAGAAGATAGGTTTGGATACAGATCTGAATCGGGGCATAAACGCGGCGGCGGCGTAAGCGAACAACAAACAGAGTGGCGGTGGCGGAACACCAATTTTCGCACGACAAGTTTCCAGTTTGAGGGGAAAAGAAAAAACTCCACTAACGTACCTTCCTCCTCTTCATTTTGATTTTGATTCTCGTTCCCGAAAACCATCGGCCGCCGCTAAGTCTTCCGCAATCTCTTCCCTCTGCTAGATCCCCCTCTGCCCCGCTGCGGTGCCCGACTGTATCTTCGCGCTGATTAGGAACGAGATGGTACACGAGATCGATGAACGGGCGCTTACCAGAGGGATAGGGAATCTCCTCGGCGACAGTAGGAGGTGGTTGAGGCGGAAGGAAGGGCGGGGAGGGAAGGGACAAAATCGATGAATAACTATGAATTTTATTTCTACCAAATCTACGAATGGGCCAACAGATGGACCAAGAATAGCAGTTCAGTCAAATCCATATTCAAGCTTTTTCCAGCAATGGTCAACACCTTTTTTCAATTATTATTTTTTGTTTTTATTTATTAAATCCACGTGGCAAAACTAATGTGGCCACGTTAGCCATTCTGTTAGTCCAGTCAGCACGTTAACTAACACCATTAAAGAATTGGACGGAGATGGCTATTTTTGGTGTTTCGCCAAAAGTGGCTATATTTGGTCAAACCATCAAAGTTTTGGCTACACAAGTGTATTTATCCTATTTATAATGTGCTAAGTTCACATTACTAATATTTTCTCTAGGTCATGTTGATTGAGCAAGCTCTATTGAGGTCTTACATCATATATATATGCTAAGAAATTTTCTTTTGAGACTTGGAGTTATTTATTGTTAAAGATTATAAATTGAAGTTTCCAAAATGACTTGAGTATAATAGTTGATGAACTTTGACTTCATATTATAGGATGAGACACAAGATTCCTTGAAAAATGAAATGTGTGAAATTTAGAGAAATCTTTTTTCAGGATGTACGTTAAACATCACATTTCATGCTAAGAAATATCTAAATTCGACGACTGAGGTAATAAATAAACATTAATACTTTACTTCACACATATAACAAAAAACATTTATAGTTACAATAGTGTAAACCGAGCTATTGGATCAAAAGAAGAATATTTAATAAATATGAGTTTAGTAAGAAAATTATAGCAAGTCTATATAGTTGTGAGCCTATGTTTCATACCAAATTTTGGCAATAACAAAAAAAAAAGTTGATATCATATTCCACCTAAGGAGCTGAGTTCAAAGGTATTAATTAGTGTTGAAAGTAAAATAAACTCTCTGTATATATATGTTTAGATATTAACAATAGATGTGTCTACAATACATCCAATAATTTCAATACATGTGAAAAGCCAAATGTTTGTATGAACTTTTACATTTTGCTACAAAATATTTTGTTAAAAAATTATAAGTTAACTATTCAAGGAATACATAATTTTGAATGCACATAAAATATTTATCTATCGTATACAGACTTTACCAATTATTAATATAAGTAATGAAATTTTTGTTCAAGAACAAACACCAAACATAAAAAAAATTTAGCGAATGGACATTCAAATAGTTGAAAAATTATACATTGAAGGAACATGTTAAGATGAGAACCTTCGATAGTGCATATGAATGCCTTGGATTCAGATTCTAAACGAACATCTAGACAAAAAGGCATGAGTTGGGGGTTAGTTCAAACTTAAAATATTAGCAATTGATATATATTGTAAGATAATAATAATTTGTATATTGATAGAAAAATTGTCATTAGTTGCTATACAAAGACTTCATGAACATCAACAATAAAAATGAGTGAGGTTTAGAGAATTGAATCATTATAAGGGATACGATGTGTGTCAAATTTCAATTGGGATAAACATAATTTATCCAATAATCAAGTATCTTTTTCCAATAATTTGAACTCTGATTAATTGGCTTAGAGTTCGTACAAACTCGAGAATCATGAATTGATATATGTTGTATAAGATAATAAATTTGAGTTCTTGATGGAAATTATTTAATATACGATCTTAAATGGGACGTGATAAACCTTTAGGTTATGATTTATGATCAGAGAATAAAAACATCACAAGCGAGTTTGCTAACTATTAAATATTAAGAATTTTCGGATGTACCAGCCTGTGGAGCCGACCTTGTTTTCTTTGTTCTTGTATTTGTTTTGTTTTTCTTTCTAATTAATTAATATATATCACCTTCAACAAAAAAAATATTAAAATTTTTTGATATAGGCATACCACATATTCACTTATGAAGCGAGAGCAGAACATGTATACAAGATCCAAAAAGTTCAAATATATAGATAAGTTAACTAATATAATAATAAAATGAACTTCCCGACCAACTGACCGGATAAAAAACTAGTTAAATAAAAACCGAAATCAAAACATATCCCTTCAATACAAACACACATAAACCATTATAGTAACATCAAAATTCAAACACAAAGCTGATTCACTACTGAAACATCACTCAAACGCCCACTGGTTCTCCCTCCGAATCGCTTCTTCCTCCTCCTTGGTGAAATCGTTCTCGATATTGAAGTACCTCCGTATCTCCTCCGGCGTCTTCCCCTTGATCAGGTCGGCCACAGTTTGACAGATCAAATCCAGCAGATCCTTGACGTTCAAGTAATTCGCCGCAAGAAGCAGATCGTACAGGGTGTCCTGGCCCACCTTGGCGAAATTCGCGTCCCATATCTTCATCGATTCGGCGTCGTCGGATTGACAAGGGTGCTGGTGGTGCTTGTTGCAGAACTCTATCACCTTGGCCAGAATCCCGCCGGTGACGTTGGGGATCGGGATGCCGTCGCCCGCGCATCCGTCCTCGATCATGTGCTTGATCGTCTGCGACTGCATCGCCACCGCTTCCTCCACCTCGAAGGACTCGCCGTCGCCGCTCTTCAGAGTGATCAACTTCTTCTCCGCCGCCGCTGTCGACATTGTTACCGCAATTGGACCTATTGGTTAACTTCTCCGTAGAAAGCGGGAGCTACTGATTGATGGATGAAGATCTGAGAATCTGTACGCCTGGAGGCTGGAGCTGGTTATTTATAGGGAAGAGAGAGCCGACTTAAATTTAGGATGAACAGAGGGTTTTTTTTTTTTTACGCACAGGAAAAGGAAATCTTTTACGATCAGGAGAAGGGATTCTTTTATTATTATTAGTGTAATTATGAAGCGTTAGTTTTTATTATAATTATTATTTTGGAGAAAAGAGAAGCTCTTTTCTACGTAGCCGGTCTTTTCATGACCAAGTCAAAGGAATTATAAATTTTTATATTTCTTCAATATTCATAATATCAATTTTTCCTATTGTCAAACATACATTATAATATAATGCTAGTTATATTATAAACTAAATTTTTCCTATTTGGATTTGTAAACTGAACAAGATCTACATTAAAAAAGATAATGATGATAAAATAAATTATAAATAGATCTATGATCAAAATTTTGACCTTTGTGAAAAATATAATCATTTATAATATAACCATATTTAGGAATTTATTGAAAAAATCTCATCATTTTTTGCTAGAAACATTAATAATGTTAAATGAGTCGTTAGAAATATTGAAGACAAGCCGAGGTGGAAAGTACTTCACCTCCCACGTCGGCTCTAATAGATCATGTCACACAACCTGTTGGCAATGTCAAATTACCAGAAAAGGTTAAAAATTTTAGTTTTTTTATATTGTTCTCTTTTTTATATCCCATCTCCTTTTTATTCCAAAAAAAAAAAAACCTTGATTCGGGTCTAATTGCACATGTTTTGCCCCCGTTTTGCTTAGATATTTGAGCCAAATTCGCTCCTTAAAAGTCGATTTTACGCTAGGTTCTTCGTGTTTGAGTGTGTTTCAGGATTTAACAGGTGCAACCAGCCTTGGAGTCGAAAGATTGGTGAAAAGGATCGAAAACCGGGAGAAGAGGTGAAAAAAAAGAGCCAGTTCATGGCTAATTGAAGGAGTTCACCGTCATGTTAGACCATGAAGAAGTGGAGTTGACCGTGAATCGCGAGGCGTCCAAATCCAATTTGAAGGTTACTGACGCAAGGTGAGTTCGCGGTCACCACAAGCAGTTGCCCGTGAGTGATGCGGAGCGTTTTGGCGCACACCTTGAGTTCACGAACGCGTTTGATGGTTCACGGCCGTGAACTCAGCTCTTCTCGGGTTTAAAAGCTGAGCTGCAAGGAGGAGAGAAGGGAGAGCCCACTTTTGTGAGAAAACACCTTCTTCAGCATTCTAGTGAGAGAAACAGAACCAAAGGGAAGAAGAAGGTTAGGGTTTGGCTTCAAACAGATTGTTGGGAAGATTTCCCCAAGGAAAGCTCAACTCAAGGTTCAAGAAGGGAGGAGGCATCCCCAAAGATGGTTTCCACCTTTTTTCCTTTTGTTCTTCCCACTTCTACCATGGAGTAGACCTCTTTTCACTTGGGTGTAGTGAAACTCTAACTCTACCATGTAGTTTTCTTGTATGTGGCTTGGATGATTGATATTGGGTATTGTTCAATTTAATTTTTGAGGCATTATTCACCATGAGTGTGCATGCTTGTGCTTAGCAACTTAGGGGTTATGCATGTTTTGTGCTTAACATCCTAGGGATTGTGCATAATTGTGCTTAGCACCCCTAAGTTTGTGCATTTAGGTGCTAGTAATCTAATTTGACACCTTAGCCTAGTTTAGAGAGAAAAATCCCCCTTTCAAGGGAGACTCAATCGAGTTGGTTTTCCTTCCGCTTTCTAAGCCACCTAAACTAGGTTGAGTTAGGGAAACCCTCAATATTGAATTAAACAAGTCGATTAGTCGTGGTTAAACCGTCCAACCTTAGAGTGAGTGAGGGAGTAAGTCGATTACCGATTGTCTAAATCGAGAGGGTTGAGTGACACGATCTTTCATCCTCATCTCGGTTTAGCAATTGAGACTGTGGTCTTCGACCACATACGCTTTCCTCTGCGGTTCACATTAACGTGCCCAAGGCAATCGTTCCAATCCACGTAGCATGGTAGCGGTTAGGGGCAAGCGAAACTCGAGTGACTTTCCAACAAAAGAGTTTTCAAACCCAATCACCTTTGTTTTCTTTCATTTCAATTAGCAAACCTTTTAAACCAAGTTTAGTTGCTAGATAATGATTTCAACAATGGAAGTAGGGATAGACGGACCGGCTCGGGTCGATATCTAAATACTTGCCCTATACTGCACCCGATTAGAGTTTAAAAACTTGGGCTCTAATTGGGGTTTAATTGTAGTGTAGTTTCGTGCGAATCAACCCTCCCTCTACATCCGTCATTAGCGTCACGCCTAAATGAACATAAACTATTTTGTTCTTTATCTATTCTGGTTCGCATGAGTCATGAAAAACATGTCACCTCATCTTCTCAATTGACACCCCACCCTATCTTCTAATTGACACCTTCTACTTCCATTTGTTCCACCCAATCAAGCAATCACTTTCGCTTTTCAGATAAAACTCAATTGAAATCCACACAATCGAACTGACATTGAAACTTTCATTGCGTCCTCCCAATTGAGCCATCATATAATGATTTCCAAATTATGTAGCGGGATTGATATTTAGATTGGGTCTGTTCACTAATATTTCCTCGTTACTTCCCTAGACTTTCTCTCCACCCCCTTCAACTCTTCTAAGATTCTCATATCCAATATCATCAGAAATGATGTGGTTGTTGAAGATGCTGAAGTACAGAGGAATCCGAATCCATTCTAGAGAAGGAAATCAAAACTGTGTCGTTAAAGGTTCTTCACTTAAGTGTGTGTCATTAGACTGCGTCGTTTGGCATTTTTCTATGTTGGTCATTAATGTTTAGTTTATGGTAGTATTGGTCAGTCTGGCTAAACTAGCCGTTGCAGTAGTTTACGTTGCAGAGTTGAGTTGTTAGCCTTGAAGCTAATCTTCAGGGATTCAGCTGTTGAGAGTCAAGTGTCAAAGCCAAATCTGTAGGCTTTCAGTTGGGAGTTCATTGTATAAAGATCGATTCCATTCTATGAATAAAGTCGTCAGTTTGCGATCTATTAGCTTTCATTGTGGTATCAGAGCTACTGCGAACTGTAACCATCAAGAGGTGCGAGTTGAGCAATTGAGATTTGAGTGAAATTGCTGAGATTCTGGGTTTTGGGAAACACGAGAGAAAGTGAGGTTTTAATCACTGGTGTGCGCGAGAGAATCCAAAGAGGAGCAGAGGTATGAGTATTGACAGCAACTTCTCTCAAGTGGGAATTCCCAAGTTCGATGGGGATTATGATCATTGGAGTATGCTGATGGAAAATCTGCTCAGGTTCAAGGAATTGTGGACAGTTGTGGAAGATGGATTCAGAGAGATTGATGCTGGATCTGTGCTGACTGAAGCTCAGACAAAGACATTGGAGACAACACGTTTGAAGGATCTAAATGCCAAAAATTACCTTTTTGGCTCCATTGATCGGAGCATTCTGAAGACTATCACTCAGAAGGCAACCTCCAAGCAGCTGTGGAACTCCATGAAGACTCGTTATCAGGGAAACGAGCGTGTGCAAAAGGCAAATCTGCAAGGGCTCAGAAGGAATTTCGAGTTGCTGCAGATGAAGGAAGGAGAGACTGTGACTAGTTACTTTGGCAGGGTAATGGTCATTGCAAATTCAATGCGGAATTGTGGTGATGATATGACAGACACTAAAATTGTGGAAAAGGTACTTCGCACTCTCACTGAGAAGTTCAACTACATTGTTTGCTCAATTGAGGAGTCCAAAGATATTTCTGAACTATCAGTAGATGCTCTGCAAAGCTCTTTGCTGGTTCACGAGCAAAAGTTCACAAGATTTTCTACTGATGATGAGCAAGCCTTACAAGTATTTGGCGCTGGAAGAGGTCGAGGTGGTAGGATTGGCTATCAAGGCAGGGATGGTAGAGGAACAGGAAGATTCTGGAACAGGGATCAGGTTGAATGTTTTAAGTGCCATAAGATGGGACATTTCAAGGCTGAGTGTCCTGAGTGGCAGTCTCAGGCTCATTATTCAAGCTGGGACTCCACTGTTCTCAAAGATGATGTTCTCTTAATGGCATACACTGAAGAAACAGGGGTGGAGAATAACTCTACCAAGAAGGATTCTGCTTTCTGGTTTCTAGATAGTGGCTGCAGCAATCATATGTGTGGAGATCAAAGCTGGTTTATCAAGCTTAACAATGGCTTCAGAAGTGAAGTCAAGCTAGGAAATGGCAGCACACTAGATGTTCAAGGAAAGGGTACTGTAAAAATGTTGATTGAAGGAGTTCCACTTGTCATTCAGAATGTGTTCTACATTCCAAGTCTGAAGTCCAATCTGCTAAGTGTAGGACAACTGCAAGAGAAGAACCTGGCATTCACAATAAAAAATGGAAGCTGCAGAATTTATCATGAAAAGCATGGACTGTTACTCCAAACATCTATGAAGTCCAATCAAATGTTCATACTACAGGCTAAGAAACACACTGCAGATGGTGGTCACTGTCTACAAACTACTCATCATGACACATTGAATCTGTGGCATCGAAGATTTGGTCATTTGAGCAAGACAGGACTGCTTCATTTGGAAAAGAAGAAGCTGGTGCAGGGGCTTCCAAAACTGACTGGAGAATTGGAGGTCTGTGGAACTTGCATGGTTGGAAAGCAAAGCAGAACCAAGTTTCCAAAGAAAGGAGCATGGAGAGCCACTAGACCACTTCAACTCCTTCATGCTGACTTATGTGGTCCTCCCACTCCAACCTCAAATGGAGGGAAAAGGTACATTATGACACTCACTGATGACTATAGCAGAAAACTCTGGGTTTACTTCTTGAATGCAAAGTCAGAGGCTTTAGCTTGGTTCAAAAGGTTTAAAGCACAAGTGGAGAATGAAACTGGAAGGTCCATTGCTTGTCTTAGAACAGATAGAGGAGGAGAATTCTTATTACACGAGTTTAGAGATGTGTGTGAAGCAGCAGGCATCAGAAGGCAACTAACAGCTGCACTCACTCCTAAGCAAAATGGTGTTGCTGAAAGAAAGAACAGAACTATTCTGAATATGGTAAGGTGTTCTCTGGAGGATACCAAGGTTCCCTCATCTTTCTGGCCTGAGGCTGTTGATTGGGCTGCACATGTACTCAACAGGAGCCCAACCATAGCCAATGAGGGTAAAACACCACAAGAAAGATGGACAGGAAAGCCTCCATCAGTGAATCACTTGAAGGTGTTTGGTTGTGTGGCTTATGCTCATGTGCATGACAGCCTAAGAAAGAAACTAGACAGCAAAAGTATCAAATGCAACTTTCTGGGGTTGTCTAAGGAATCTAAGGCTTATAAGCTGTTCAATCCTGAAACAAAGAAGGTCATCATTAGCCGAGATGTGGTCTTCAATGAAAAGGAAGACTGGATAAGCAAATCTGCAGAAGAACCTGTTTTGACTAAGCTGATATGGGAAGGAAGTGAAGAAGTCTGGAATGACTCAGAGGAAGAAGAAGGAAGTGAGGGAGAAGAAGGAGAAGAACCAGTTACTGAAGAGGACAGTGAGGGTAGCAACCCACATTCTGCAGATGAGAGTACTAATCCCAGTGCTAATCCTTCCAGCTCTCAGACCTCACCTGCAGATCCCACTACATCACCAACTGCTCACACAGAAGAAGAAGAAGAAGAAGAAGAAGAAGAAGAAGAAGAAGAAGAAGAAGAAGAAGAAGAAGAGGAGGAAATGACTGATGCACTGGGGTTACCAATTAACAGTGAGCTAGGCCCCAGGAATCGAAAATTCCCAAGTCGATTTGGAGACTATGATTGCTCTGGAATGCCTAACTTGGCATTCACTGAAAGTGACATATGGGCTTTGGTAGCAGTCAGTGGTGATCCAACCACGTTTGAAGAAGCAGTACTGGATGAAAAATGGAGACAAGCTATGAAACAAGAAATTGAGGCTATCAAAAGAAATCTTACCTGGACTCTAGTTGACAAACCACCTAGAGTAATCCCTATTGGAGTCAAGTGGGTTTACAGAACAAAGCTGAGAGAGGGTGGGTCAATTGATAAATTTAAGGCAAGATTGGTGGCAAAAGGTTATGCTCAGAGACATGGAATAGATTACAGTGAAGTATTTGCACCAGTGGCCAGGTGGGACACTATAAGGACATTTCTAGCACTTGCAGCAAAACATGGTTTAACTGTGTACCAGTTAGACATCAAGAGTGCATTTCTGCAGGGAGAACTTACAGAGGAAGTCTACATCCAACAGCCACAAGGATTTGAAGTTCCTGGTGCAGAAAACAAGGTTTACAAACTACAAAAGGCCTTGTATGGCCTAAAGCAGGCTCCCAGGGCATGGTACAGCAGAATAGAGTCTCATTTTCTGGCAAATGAGTTTGAAAAGTGTGAATTTGAGCACACACTGTTTGTGAAAAAGAAGAAAGAGGATGTGCTGCTAGTGAGTGTGTATGTGGATGATCTGATCTATGCAAGTACCAGTTGTGAGATGCTAAAGGAGTTCAAGGAATCAATGGAGGCTGATTTCGAGATGACAGACCTAGGGAAGATGAAGTTTTTCCTAGGGGTGGAGGTAATCCAATCATCTACTGGTATCTTCATTTCTCAATCCAAGTATGTTCGAGAGCTGTTAGAAAAGTTTCATCTGGCAGACTGCAATCATGTTCTTAATCCTATAGCACCAGGAGCCAAACTCTCGAAGGCTGGAGATGGCATTCAAACTGATGCAACTGAGTACAAACAACTTATTGGGAGTCTGTTGTATGCAACAGCTACAAGACCTGACATCATGTATGTAGTGTGCTTATTGAGCAGGTCCATGGAGAAACCCACAAGACAACATGTTCTGGCAGCAAAAAGAGTTCTGAGGTATCTAAAAGGGACACTGAAGTTTGGAGTGATGTATAGAAGACAGGAGGAAGAAGACCACCTGCTTGGATACACAGACAGTGACTATGCTGGAGATTTGGATGACAGGAAGAGCACCAGTGGTTACATCTTCTTTCTTGCAGGTGGAGCAATCTCATGGAGCTCAAAGAAACAACCTGTTGTGACATTGTCAACAACAGAAGCAGAATTCGTGGCTGCATCTTTCTGTGCAGCTCAATGTGTTTGGTTGAAGAGAGTTGTGACACAAATGGGATGGCCAGGCTGTGCAGCAGGTTCAACTAAGGTCATGTGTGATAATAGCTCTGCTATTAAGTTGTCTAAGAATCCAATTATGCATGGCAGGAGCAAGCATATAGACGTTCGCTTTCACTTCTTGAGGGAGCTGGCCAGGAATGGAACAATAGAGCTGGAGCATTGTGGAACTGCAGATCAAATTGCAGATATTATGACCAAGCCTTTGAAGTTGGAGACTTTTCAAGTGTTACGCAGCAAGCTTGGACTGGTTGATGGAGCTGAGTTATGGTCTGAAGGTTGATGAACTGAAGCTGTTTGAAATAGGCTTCAGTTCAGGGGAGGCTGTTGAAGATGCTGAAGTACAGAGGAATCCGAATCCATTCTGGAGAATGAAATCAAAACTGTGTCGTTAAAGGTTCTTCACTTAAGTGTGTGTCATTAGACTGCGTCGTTTGGCATTTTTCTATGTTGGTCATTAATGTTTAGTTTATGGTAGTATTGGTCAGTCTGGCTAAACTAGCCGTTGCAGTAGTTTACGTTGCAGAGTTGAGTTGTTAGCCTTGAAGCTAATCTTCAGGGATTCAGCTGTTGAGAGTCAAGTGTCAAAGCCAAATCTGTAGGCTTTCAGTTGGGAGTTCATTGTATAAAGATCGATTCCATTCTATGAATAAAGTCGTCAGTTTGCGATCTATTAGCTTTCAGTGGTGTTCATATCTATATCGATCCATACAAACAAATGAATTTGTTCTACTAAATCCTTGCAATAGCAAAAAGAAGAAATTAAATTATGGTGAAGGTATGAAGAAAATTCATAGATTTCATTGATGGGTGCTTATGAATCATTCAGTGAGATGGTAATATAGATTGAAGGGTGCTTGTGCAACTTGTTTTTTTTTGTTTTGCCGGCCCAACTTCCACCTTGAATAGAGTAGGTTGTTCCTCCTTCATCATATCCAATCGAGTGATAACTGTCGAGTTTTGTCAAATCTTTTATTGAACTCTGATGTGCTATGAGATGGGAGGTTACAACGATTTGGATGTTAATCAATGATAGGAGGCGTAGAAGAAGACGAAAACAAAGGGAGAAAAGAGGAAGGATATTTTATTTCCCCATCTTAATATTGTCCTAATGAATATTATTTTTTGTGCATTTTCTTTTTTGTTTAAGTTAATTATAATAAAAATGTCAAAAATTCCAAACTGGTAAGTTAACACCACAAAGCGCCACATTAGCGTATTTCATGAATCTAGTCAGCATAGTTGATGATGCTATAAGATTAAATTGATTTCATGGACTAATTAACTATATTTGTTATTATTCATAAAAAATGATTATATTTGTCAAAAAGATCGAAGTTTTGGTTGTATATTTTTTCTAAACTAAACAACACGTATAATTTAATTTTTAATATTAAAATCAATGTTATTTAGGTTCTGATTTTATGATTAGTCTCCTATAATATATAAGTAATTTTAAATAAAATATAAATATGAAACCGCCAGCCAAACATATACCTAGCATTTAATTAAAGATTGACAACAAATACAATCTAGTCTAATTCATCATCGTATTGTTTCTTTCCTCTGGCCACAAAATTCGAAATATAGAAGAAAAAAAAATTCTCATTTAACCTTATATATGTAGATATCCACCATTAGTCAACGTGGTCAAACGAAACACACCATCTTAGACTAACTCCAACCCAAAAAGCTATATTTAGCCTTCCAAACTCTCAAATGTGCATATTTGCCTCTAGGGATGGCAATGGGGCGGGTTTGGGGCGGGTTTGCTTAAACCATCCCCATACCCATCTTCAAATACCCAAACCCATACCCGCCCCATACCCATGCGGGGGAATGTTTTGCAAACCCATCCCCATACCCGTGGGTTTCGGGTACCCATGGGTAATACCCATACCCGTACATCCAACATTATTATACCTAAAACTTACAAGAAAAGTTCTAATTATAATTCTAAACGAACATATTATATCATGAAGTCAATAAAACACGGTCATTTTTTTAATATGATTCAAAGATTATGATCCTAAAATATCCATTAATACATAATATAGAGTATAATATTTTTCAAATTATTATGTTCTAACTCGATACATCTACTAAATAATAATTAACTAACATAATCTTGTTGACAAGAGGGAAAGTGAAAGAGTGAAATGAGAATTGAGAGAAATGAATTAGATTTTGATTAAGGTGGTCAATCAATTGTATTTCTACTATTTATTTTCTCAAGTTATCCTCATCATCATTGATAGATTATAATTTGATGCACACATTTTTTTATATATGAAGAAATTATCTTGGTGGGGCGGGTATGGGGATGGGTATGGGGCGGGGGAGGCTAAAACCATACCCGCCCCATACCCATCAAACTTTTTGCGGGTTTTACCCATACCCGGTCAAAGCGGGGATTCCCCGCGTTGAATGGGTCGGGGGCGGTCGGATACCCGCGGCCATGGGTTTGATTGCCATCCCTATTTGCCTCCTCAAAACACTTTTTTGCTCCAACCCTATAGGCTTCCAAATTTAGCTTCCCACATCGTTTTTTTTATTTAATTTCCATAATCTATACATATTTACAGTATCATTCTTGTAATTCACTTTAATTTTTTTTATAGTTTGTTATTACTTGTGAAAACAAAATTTTCGATGTAATTTTTTTTAATTCCGAGATTTTTTTTTTGTGCAAAATTAGTCATTTTTTGTAGCCGTTACTTTATGACCGTTTTTTTGGACCAATCCAAATATGACCGTTTTTTTTAGCCGTTACTTTATGACCGTTTTTTTTTGTCGTTTTGTGCATCATATGTGTTTATAAATTACAATTCTTCATTTTTCATCAACTAGATTAGTCAACGTGGTCAAACGAAACACACCATCTTAGACTAACTCCAACCCAAAAAGCTATATTTAGCCTCCCAAGCTCTCAAATGTGCATATTTGCCTCCTCAAAACACTTTTTTGCTCCAACCCTATAGGCTTCCAAATTTAGCTTCCCACATCTTTTTTTTATTTAATTTCCATAATCCATACATATTTACAATATCATTCTTGTAATTCACTTTAATTTTTTTATAGTTTGTTATAACTTGTGAAAACAAAATTTTCGATGTAATTTTTTTTTAATTCCGAGCTTTTTTTTTTGCAAAATTAGTCGTTTTTTGTAGCCGTTACTTTATGACCGTTTTTTTGGACCAATCCAAATATGACCTTTTTTTTAGCCGTTACTTTATGACCGTTTTTTTTTTTGTCGTTTTGTGCATCATATGTGTTTATAAATTACAATTCTTCATTTTTCATCAACTCACTGAAACTTCTTCCCATTTCTAAAACAAACACATTCATCATGAGTATGTCAGATAGCTCATCGTCGGGAGGAGAAGAAGAAATCGAAGAGTACGAGAGGTTTCACCACCTACGGTTGAGTTTAATCGGCCGGAGGCTGGCTGAAGGTTCATCAAGTCGACGTCAAACTACAAGTCGACGTCACATTGTTCGTGAAAGGGTCGAATGTAATCGCCGTCTTATGAGGGATTACTTCGATCCAAATCCAGTAAACAATGCTCGCATATTTAGAAGGCGCTATCGGATGCAACCAAGATTATTCCATCGCATTATGGGCGACATTGTGAGGTTTGACCCCTCATTTGCTCTACGGCGTGATAGCTTGGGTCAATTATCATTATCTCCAGAGCAGAAGCTTACTGGTGCGATGCGCATGCTAGCATATGGTTCTCCAGCTGATCAACTTGACGAGTATGTTCGTATGGGTGAGAGCACTTTGATGGAGGTCTTCAGAAAGTTCTGCAACAACATTATCAACATGTATGGGGCCACATATCTTCGCGCACCTACTCCTGCCGATTTAAGGATCTTACTCAGTAAAGCCTCAAGACGTGGCTTTCCAGGAATGGAGGAATTGTCCAAGTGGCTGGGCAGGACAATACACCGGCCACATGCATAGGCCAACAATCATTCTAGAGGCGGTGGCCTCCTACAACACATGGATATGGCATGCTTTCTTTGGGTCTCCTGGATCGAACAACGATATAAATGTTCTGGGGATGTCGCTAGTGTTTGATCGTATTGTCAATGGAAGCGCTCCACATGTACGATTTGAGGTAAATGGCCATGCTTATGATCAATTCTATTATTTGGCCGACGGTATTTATCCCTCATGGTCTACTTTAGTGAAGACCTTCAGCAATCCAAGGTCAAACAAAGAGGCTTTATTTGCTCAACGTCAAGAAGCACACCGCAAAGAGGTAGAGCAGGCATTTGGAATCCTCCAATCAAGATGGGCAATTGTTCGTGGCCCTGCAAGAGCTTGGGATGTTGTCACACTGAACAATATAATGTTGACGTGCATTATATTACACAACATGATAATCGAGGATGAGCAAGTTGATTCTGATGATGAGATGGATGATGACCTTGATTATGAGGTCCATGAACAACCTCAACCAATCAACCGACACGTTCCAACTCTGGTTGATATTTGGCTAGAAATAATAGGATTCGCTCCTCAACAACACATCATGCGCTTCGAAATGACTTGGTTGAGCATCTTTGGAATTTGCAGGGCAATAACTAGTATTGTTTAATTATGGATTGTATTGCTTGTTTGGTAGTTTGTATTTCAAGTTTCAGTGTGTGATTGTATTTCATGTTTCAATAAAGTGTGTTTTGTAGTTAGTCAAAAGATTCAATAACGACTAGTTTTTTATTACACATGAAAATGCTCAAAGTTCAAATACAACACACAACACACCACATAAAGCAATAAAAGCCTCAATTAGTACACATAGGACCTTCTTCTAATCATAATCCATAACAGGAAAGTAATAACCTCCACTTTGATCTCCATCTCCTCCACCACTTGCATCTCCATCTCCGCCATCTCCTGGATTAGAGTTGGGATCATCTTGATCGTACCCATAGATGTCATTTTGTTTACTCCTCCAAAATTTCTTCTTTCTTGGTGTCATCTTTGACAAATCCTTCTCCAGAATATTCATATTTTGTTGAAGTATTGCGGCCTCCCTCTCTTTCTTCTCAAGAGCTCATTGTTCCGCTTCCTGCTCCCTCACTTGCCTCTTGTATGCCCATTCCTCGGCTTTCCTCTCTAGTCTCCTCTCTTGAAGATTAATTTTCTATTTTCGTACTCCATCCTCGACTTTTGCTTCTCTCTCATATCATTACCAAACTCTAGCAGTTGAGTAGTGTACATGTCTGACGATTCCGCAACTACCTTACCTTTCTTTTTTGCTGCCTTTTGTTTGTCGCGTCCTTCAGGGCGAGACAGCACGAAAGGCGTAGCTCCCTCGTCTGGTATGTCGTCGAGGCCTTCCATAGGGGAGGATTGAGAACCAATACCTATGGGAGAACTTTGAGAACCTTGACCCATAGGTGGAATTGGACCGTCAACCAATTGAGGGTCACAATACCACTTTGGGCAATTTCGAAGGATGACCCAACAATGCTCATGTTCAAAGGCTTTATCCCCATTCTCTTCCTTATATATCTATCTTGCTACAAATTCGTATCAAAATTATTAATAAACAAGTTAGATAAGTAAATATACATAAAAATAAGAAATACAAAAGTTAAAGTTTCCAAAACAATACCACATCAACTTGGTTAGTACCGCTCGTTTGACTCCTCT